GATGTATTCAGGGTTGACCTTGGTGAACTCTGTGAAAGGCCCTGCATCAAGAACTTCCCACATTTCATCATGGAGTGCGCAGAGGTGAGCTTTCATGCGAATCCTCCAGTCATCAAACTTTGTCACTGAGAACATAAGATTCTTTGAAAGAGTGTTATCCATAATATGAGATTAAAGAGGCTAAAACAAGTGGATCTCTTGTTTAGTAAGTAACCTAAAAGATTACAAGAACAAGGAGGCTCTGATACCACTTGTTGGTCCCGTTTGTAATGGAAACAGTCTAGAGGGGGGGTGAATAGACTGTTTAGGAATTTAAACTTTTCTCTAAGTCAAGTCTGACTTATCAGAGATGGTCCAAATCTGGTGACAGAGATGGTCAAGTTCTGATGGCAGAACTAGACCAGGCAACGGATAAGTTTCTGTCCGGGTAGCCTCTAGAAGAAAGCTAAGGCAAAATGCCTTTCTGATAACTCTGAAGGAAGATCTGCTGGACACAGAGTCCAACCTGAAGAGTTAGTCAGTAGAATCTTAAGTGCAGGAATTAAAAGCTTAAAGTAAATGACACCGGGGTTTTTATAGTGGTTCAAGGAACAACTTGTTCCTCTAGTCCACTGTTCCACTAAGCTTGCAAAAACAACAGTTTACAACGCTTTAGTCCCTAGAACTTAAGAAGCACTCCTCGTCTTCTTCAAGTCTAGTTGCCACCCGGGATGCAGTCCTGCTTCCTGATGGCTGGTCTCGCTTCACTGAGTCTCTTGAAGTTTCCCCACTTCACTTACTCCAGCTAGTTTGAGACGTCCCTTCTTTTTCAAGAAGTGTATGATATAAAATCAGTTTTCTCCAACGTTGCTTCTTCACAAAGGATGAGTATATGAAGCTTTTGAAGTGTTGAAGAACTGAGTAACTTTGCAGTTTGCTAGTTGGATGAAGGATAGGAAAGTATATCTTCCAACTGGAGCCTTTTCTTGTCTAAGGATGAAGTTTTGAATCTCAAGAAGGTTGTTTTTACGCAAAGTTCTTCTCTTAGTTCTTCAGAGTGTATCTTATATACTGGGAGCAGTCTTCCCGTTGGAGTGTAGAAGACAGCTTCATTAATTGCATGTACTGTTGACTTGACCGGTTGGACCTTCGACTTGCTATTTTGGGGGCGTAAAGATACTCGCATGGTCAATCATCAGCTTTAAATATCTCTTCGTACGTACAACATTAAATGTGCATTTAATGCGTGTACAGTACCATGTTTCCGTTGAAAGGTTCGTAACCGTTAGGGGATTTCCCGTTAGTTTAACGACCGTTGGAAAGGCTTCCGGAATCTGGTGGGTTTAGCAGAGTCTTAAGAGGCTCTCTGGTCCAATCTCTGAAGTCCGTCTCTGTTGCCAACTCTGGTATCTTTCTGATGACCAGTTTCTGATGGCTTCTCTGGTGAGCAACTCTGGGAGCAACTCTGGTAGAGGCAAGATGGAACTCTGGCAGACAGACTAAGCTAAAACTTACAAAAGAAATTCTAATACACAATTTCTAATGGGGTACTTTCAAATTCTAATTAACCTAGCATCATCAAAATCTAAATACATTTATTCCTTACAGAAACTACTATATATATATATATATATATATATATATATATATATATATATACACACACACACACACATACATACATACATCAATTTATACCATGTATATATTAGAAGTAAGAAATGAAACCTACTCTTCTTACTTTCCGTATTATACTAAAAGAAAAAGTGTAAATGACATACCTCTACGGTACTATGTTCTTGAAATGAAACATGCTCTTCTTGAATAAACCATTTGCTCTTTATAAACTTGTAGGCTATTTTCTTTTCTAGAGAATGTATATAAACCCTACTGCACTAGAAATTTAAAAGAGTACTAAAATGCAAGAGGACAAATACTGTGAGCTGTTTTTGTACTGCTCTAGCAATACTGTCTCGTCTTATCCCACAAGAGCTCACTCAATGCAATAAACACGTGAGCTGTTTTTTTTGCAGAACTCACGATTTATATAAAACAAACAAAATAAATAAATAATATATCACATATATGTATAGTATTGATGCATCCTACTTCACATTTAATCTAATTATTATATTCAAAGGTCAATGTATGTGTCATTTCCATAGCCTACAAAACAAACATATGCATGTGACATTTGTCTTATTAAGTTAAATAAATATAACATTCTAATATCCGTGTATTACATCTTATAACTATTATTATTTCAGTATTTTTGATTATTAAATACTCCACTGTGTAGAATAATAGTAGCCCTAATAAGTCACATAATTATAAAATGGGACTTCTCTTGGACTATTTAACTACACTACTAATAATAAATAAGATGACCGACATGTTCCTCATAGCAGGCCATACTGCCCATACACAGGGAAAGGAGGATTTATTTTAATTGTCTTTTTGCATTGAGAGGACATGCACTCCTTCATGGACTTAAATGAATTTTAAGCTTTCTCTCGGATGATAGTTTTTTTTCAATACATAAATAAATAAACTATGAAGTGATGAGTGAATATATATAACCTCGTTCGATTCAAAACTTTAGAAGATTAGTAAAATAGTTCTACATGTGAGGTGTTTTTCATATACGTAGCCCTATATTACTCATGTACTACGTACGAAGTATCTTTTGTGTATATTATTCATAAAATAAATCATGAATTTGAATTGATAGAAGACTAGATGAATGAATCTATATGGATGAACTATGGCATCTAGAATGAAAAGATGATACTCTATGAAAGAGGAGATATGGTTTAAAATTTAAATGGAAAAAACTGATAGCTATACTCACAGATCTCTGAACATTATCTCTCCATTGACATGCAATGGATAATGAACAGCCAGATAGCACATGTCGTACTCTTTGTCCGTGTTTTTTTTAAATGATACTCTGTAGTACTATGAGACTATCAAAACAAAATTGATCCATTTATTTCAAACTAATAATTAGAAAACAAATAATGATGCAAATTGATTGAAATGACATATGGTGGACTCTTCAATATAATACGGAGTACATTACTACTAATAACTCATCTATATATTTATGAGTTTTAGAGGAATTTTAATTTGGTTTTCAAGACAATTATTTTGAGGTAAATAATAAACTTTAAAAACGGACGAACTAAAATTGTTTGAGAAATGGACTACTTGTTGAATATTGCTAAATCCAAGACAATTGTTCAATTTTATTGAACAATATAATCAACATTTCAACAAGTTTTTTCATTAAAACAATATTTCAACAAAAAACTATGAACACAAATTTAGTACTTTAAGGACCTGTGGTTATCGAGTTGCACGTCTCTGATTGTTAAGATGAGCTCCTTAACAATTGGTATGGCAGTAACTTGAGCCAAACGGTTATTATGTTTGTTTCTGTCAATTGTCGGGAATAACCCCCTATAACGGCACTGATGATTGATTTTAACTTCAAAAGATATGATGAGGTAGAAATTAATATGAAGTAAATATGTGAGCTAAATTACTTCTCTTTTTGAAAGTCACAATAGAGTATCTCACTTTATTTTCTCCTTGTTATGAAATATGGAGTATATTTTAAATAAAAATTTAAAGTGCTTATTTTTAACGTGAAAGTTTTGCACAGTTAAATGTACTATTAAGTTAAGTACAATTTATATTACGATATTGAACTAATACATGTTCATTTTTATCTTTTTAAAAGATATGGAGTTAACTAAAATTTCTCCATGTGGCTTTGAACAATGTTTGATAGACAGTGCCACAACGCACATCATTTTGAAACATAGAGATTATTTTTCTCATATGACATTAGTTGATGCTAATGTCAATACAATCTCAGGTGTTGCTAAACTCATTGAAGGTTCTGGAATAGCCTTTGTAATTCTCCCAAAAGGAACAAAATTAATAATTAAAGACGCTTTATACTCCAGTAAATCACGGAGAAATCTATTGAGTTTCAAAGATATACATCTAAATGATTTTCACATTGAAACCATGTCTGAAAATCAAAAGGAATATTTATGTCTAACGACAAATAGATCTGGCAATAAATACATTTCAGAAAAAATGTCAGCATGTTCCTCCGGACTATATTATACATATATCAGTCCAATTGAGATAAATGTGGTATCTAAAACTAATGACCACAATTCCTTTATCTTGTGGCATGATCGTTTAGGTCATCCAGGCAGCACTATGATGCACAAAATTATTCAAAATTCACTTGGACATTCACTAAATAATGTCAAAATTTCACAATCAAGTGATTTCTCGTGCACTGCCTATTCTCTTGGCAATTAATTATCAGACCATCTTTATACAAAATTGGAGTTGAATCTCCTGCATTTTTAGAAAGAATTCGAGGAGATATTTGTGGGCCAATTGCCCATCCATGTGGACCCTTTCGATACTTTATGATGCTCATTGATGCATCAACACGTTGGTCACACGTCAGTCTTTTATCGACTAAAAATTTTGCATTTGCAAATATCCTTGCTCAAATTATTCGTTTGAGATCACAATTTCCGGATTATTCAATAAAGAAAATCCGACTTGATAATGCAAGAGAGTTTACATCCCAATTTTTTAATGACTATTGCACGTCAATTGGGATTGATGTGGAACATCCAGTTCCAATGTGCATACACAAAATGGTCTTGCTGAATCCTTAATTAAGCGATTACAATTAATTGTTAGACCATTATTGATGAAATCCAGATTATCATCATCTGCATGGGGATATGCTATAATGCATGCTGCAAATTTAATTCGGGTTAGGCCAACTGCATATCAATATGGTAAAGAACCAAATATATCACACATAAAAATATTTGGTTGTTCTGTGTATGTACCAATTGCTCCACCTTATCGTACTAAAATGGGTCCTCAAAGAAGGCTGTGAATTTATGTTGGTTTTAAATCTCTCTCAATTATTAATTATCTAGAACCTATGACTGGTGACTTAATTATTCACCGCACGGTTCGATGACTGTCATTTTGATGAGACGGTATTCCCAGCCTTATGGGGAGATAATAAAGAAATGGACCCACGTATGAAAGATATTACTTGGAATGCAACAAATTTATCTTTTCTTGATTCTCGCACAAATGCTTGTGAACAAGAAATTCAAAAGATCATTCATTTACAAAATGTTGCAAACCAATTGCCTGCTGCTTTCACAGACTCAAAGAAAGTGACAAAGTCACATATTCCAACTATGAATGCTCCTTCTCGAATAGAAATTCATGTGGAGATTAACGAAAGAACTCTTGCTAATGAATCTATGATACGTAAAAAACGTGGTAGACCACTTGGTTCAAGAGATTTGAAACCAAGAAAATTTAAAAAGCAAGATGTAGTTTGTGATGCCAAAGAAGTTCAACCTTCTCAAGAAGAAAATGAACATTTTGAAAATATCGGCATTGAAGATAACATCAATAATAATGATACCTCAAAAGAGGATCAAATCACCTTTGAAGAGGTAAATATTCCAGATAAAGATAGAAACGTTGATAATTTCGAAATTTCAATCAATTACGTTTCTAATGGAATGCAATGGAATAGAAAAGATATTGATGATAACGATATATTTTCATATGTTATCGCCACAGATATAATGAATGAACACGATGACAATGAGCCTAAATCTATTGACGAATGTCGTCGTAGAAACGATTGGCCAAAATGGAATGAAGCGATTCAGGTAGAACTAAAATTGCTAGAAAAGCGTAATGTTTTTGGACCAATTGTCCACACGCCAAAAGGCATAAAACCTGTAGGTTTTAAATGGGTGTTTGTGCGTAAACGCAACGAGAAAAATGAAATCGTTAGATATAAAGTCCGACTTGTTGCCCAAGGTTTTTCTGAAATGCCAGTAATCGATTATGATGAGACGTATTCTCCAGTAGTTGATGCTACTACTTTACGATTTTTAATTGGCATGTCTGTTTTTGAAAGGCTGCAAATGCACCTAGTGGATGTAGTGACCACATATTTATACGGTTCACTCGATACAGACATATATATGAGAATTCCTGGAGGATTTAAAATACCTGATGCTTATAGCTCTAAATCTCGAGATTTATTTTCCATAAAATTGCAAAAGTCATTATATGGATAAAACCAATCTGGACGCATGTGGTATAACCGTCTTAGTGAATATTTGATCAAAGAAGGATACAAAAATGATCCTATTAGTCCATGTGTTTTCATTCAGCGATCTGAATCAGGATTCGCCATAATTGCAGTATATGTTGATGATTTGAATATAATCGGAACTCTCAATGAAATTGAAAATACTGCTAAATATCTCATGAAAGAATTTGAAATGAAAGACCTTGGGAGAACAAAATTTTGTCTCAGCATTCAAATTGAACATTTGAGAAATGGTATTTTTATCCACCAATCAAATTATACCGAGAAACTTTTGAAGCGGTTTTATATGGAAAAAGCTCATCCACTCAATTCTCCAATGGTGGTTCGATCTCTCAACGTGCATGATGATCCTTTTCGACCTTGTGAAGATGATGAAGAAATCCTTGGTCCCGAAATACCATATTTGAGTGCTATTGGAGCGTTAATGTATTTGGCTAATAATACACGACCATATATTGTTTTTTCTGTAAATTTATTAGCCAGGTACAATTCTTCCCCAATAAGAAGACATTGGAATGGCATCAAACATATATTCCGCTATCTCAATGGTACAATCGATGTTGGATTGTATTTCAAGAATGGTGCAAATGCCACTTTAATTAGCTATGCCGATGCAAGGTACTTGTCTGATCCACAAAAGGCAAAATCACAAACGGGATATGTATTCACCTATGGTGATACCGCTATCTCATGGAGATCAATGAAGCAAACATTAACTACCACATCATCAAATCATGCAGAATTAATTGCTCTCTATGAAGCAGGTCGAGAATGTGTCTGGTTGAGATCAATGATCCAGCATATACAAAATGAATGTGGTATAAAATCTTTTACTTGTAATCCTACTGTGACTTATGAAGATAACACAGAATGTATAGCTTAGATCAAATGCGGTTACATCAAAGGGGATAGAACAAAGCATATAGCACCAAAACTTTTCTCCACACGTGATCTTGAGAAAGAAGGAACAATTGATGTCAAACAAATAAAGTCCTGCGACAACCCTGCTGATTTACTCACAAAGTCATTGGCACCGAAGAAATTTGAAGAACTGGTCCATAAAATTGGAATGTGTCGTCTTCGTGATATATGTTAAATTGAGAGGGAGTAATATAATGCACTGCACTTTTTTTCCCTTCTTCGGGTTTTTATCCCACTGTGTTTTTCCTGACAAAGGTTTTTAACGAGACAGTACATTATAATACTATGATACTAATACCCCAGAATAATTAGAAGATGACCATTCAAGGGGGAGTGTTGAAATATATTGAATTAGTCATCTTCCAACTATTCATGATTAGGAATTATTATCACCATTGTATAAATAATTCGGAAATCATAATTATGATTCTAGATGATAATTGTGTGGTTCACAATTATCCTCTAATCCTAATAAGCTTAACTTTTCTCCTATAAATAGGAGTCTTCTCCATTGTAATTAACACACCATTATCACACTCTCAATAACATATTTATCACTAAGTGTTCATACTATACTTTCTCTCCCTAATCTTCTGCTTATTTTCTTCCATTTTATAACAAGTGGTAATTAGTGAGATTTAAGAAATATTTGGACTGTTTCCTCCGTAAACAGTATGGGCAATTAGTTTCTTTTAGATTACAAATCATGTAGCATTGGGATTAGCATTAGCCTTCTTTTCAGAATTAGATTACAGAGGAAAAAATATATAAAAGATCAGAAAAATCAAAGCAAGAGCAACAATCCACGATTTCACAAACAAAGATAACACTGTTTCTTACACGATATGTTGGATCTACTTCCGAGTTCCAACATATCTAAGATCTTCATGAACCGAAGTACATAAATATTTCACGTTTACTAAGAAGTCCATATTACCATATCTAACATATCTAATATTTCACGTTTACTACCATATTAGATTAGATTCGCATGAGATCAAAGTTGATCATAAACACGAGAGTAGAAATCATGATACTCAATTGCATGTTTCTATACTCAGTAGAGGAGGTTTAATGCTCAATGAAAATGTTTTGATGCTCAACTAACAAAGCTTATTATTTTTATATTAATGCTAATTTTGTACCGGTTTTATGCTCATTTTAAAATGTCATATCAATGTTTATTTTAAAAGTATCATATTACATTAGATTCACATATTGAAAAACTTAGAAGTTTATTATAAATATTATTGATGATTTTTTTATAAACGAAAAAATAAGAAAATGAAAGTGAATTAGAAGATATAAAGCAGAGATCATGATGCTCATTAATCGTCTCCTAATGCTCAATTTAATAGGTCTGATTCTCAATAAAATTGCATTAATGTTCATTTAAGAAAAATCACAATTTTCATTAAAAATTATGAAATTGCCACCGACTTTACGGTGCAAGCCGTACATCCGGCTGTACCATGTACACACTCGTAGAATTTCTTCCTCCATCCTTTAGAATTTGTTTGATTAAGCAAATGAAGAAAAGGGTTTAATGCACCAATCTCTCATGTGATATGGAAATTCGGCGCATTAGCCTCATGCGATTCAAAAAATGCGTCACTCCCTTGTGTTTCAATTAATTATGCGCAAAGTCCCTAATATGAACAAATTCAATTATTAAATAAAAGAAATATGATTAACATTTTTGTATGATTTAGAGATTTTGACATATTTACTTGCATATTCAATCAAAATATTAATTAAATGTAATCATAAAAAAATTCTGTGCATGATTAATTAAAATACAATGGAATTTGATGCATTTTTTGATATAATACTAGCACTGAATTTCTATTTTTGGTGCATTAAACCCAAAAAAATCCAAGTTTGGAGGGTGTATGAGATGAAAAAGTACGGAACCAAGATCATGCTGTAAGCTCAACAAGTCATTAGCTCAAGGCATTTTTCCCAAATTCAACTGGCGATTTGCTTCGGAAGGACACATGGAGTCGTCAGAGATGTCGGAAGTCCTACTCTCCGATGGCGGTTTCCAAATCCAGCAAATCGAACATCTTAAGTACGCTCACGCTGGCCCTGAAGGACGCGGCGATGCCGAGGATCACAATGAGGAACCTCTAACGGCGTCGTTTCGCAAGAACGACGTGCTGAAAGCCCTGAAAGTCATGGAGAGGGACTCAATGGCCATTGCTCAGAGCTTCACTGGTCTCTTCGCCTCCCTTCGAACTACCCTCTCGGAGGTTCTCCCTCTCTCCTGAGTTCACCTAAATTTTGACGGTATTAGTCACCGTCTGTCATCAGCAGTTGACCTAAATAAAGTGCAGAAGATTCTACTAAGACTTTTAAGGTTCAAGGTTCATCCTGGTTAATCTGAACCAGTATTACCCATTTTGTAAAATTTAAGTATGGAATTAACATTTGTGAATTTCAACTTTTTAATATGATATTGAAATTTAAAGGCTTTCTCAATCAACACTAAAAGGTTAAACTCAATCAATTAGCAACTCTAATCTAAAGGCTTATAAATCAATCTTTCTTTAAGTCTTTCAATTTTGAATTTTTAACACGCCTTTATGTGTGTGTGTATGAAGAAAAGCCAATATCTAGTTTTCTTCAGCACACTACTTTCTTTCTTTTCGTGGTAAAAGTGTTGTGGTGACTGGTGAAACAATTGTTTTTGTGGATTTGAAAATTCAGAATCTTTTGTCGAGACCTTAGGATGGTAGCCTCAATAATCTTATTAATGGAAAATATATTCTTCCTCTTGTAAGTCATACATTTTGCGCTACGTAATGCTAATTTTTAGTTTCATATTTTGTTAACTTTGATACATCTTGAGATCAATGTGATTCTGGTATGAATTCTTTGACATCAATGTTGGATGCTTTAAAACAAACCAGCTGAGACTAACACAAACAATATTGTCAGGAAGATGAACCAAAATGCGTAAATAAACACCAACATGGCCACATGGGATAACAAAGGACTGCATATACTCATATTTAAGTAGTAGGATGTTCTGCTTGATTCGTGGGACATAGTTTGACAGAGAATTTTGTTTCCTTTTCATGCCTCTCAAATTACACTTGAGTAAAAGAGTTCTTCTCAGTGATAGATTGCTCATTGGATTATTGCGTTAAAGGGATATATGATCTCTAAGGACTTGAATTTGACTAGGTAATTTGTTGAATTCAATCTTTTAGAGTGGTTTATCCCTTGTGCATTTTGTTCAACTAAGTGATTTCAACTAAATCCTAAGTTCTATCATTATATAATAATGAAATTTATATCTTGTGTGCAATTATTGTTAAGCGAAAATCAATGTTCTTGAAGGCACTAGATGCTAGTCGGATGACAGCCCCACCTAGGTGGCTAGGCGGGGACTAGTCAGAGACATATAAATGATAGTTTTATCAATTCTTTTGCATAAATATGATTAGTAATGTTGTGTTTGTGTGTGTAAAAAATATACACACACATACACATTAACATGCATGAATAATAGAGTTGTCACATTAGTAATATATTATACCTACTCACTTAACTTTATTGTGTAATAAATATTACTAAATAATAATAACATTTAAGATTATATACCAACATGTTACATGTATAGTTTTTATCTTAATCTACAAGTTGTGCCTTTCTTCATAGGCGTTGACCCATTGTTAAAGTTAATTGTACATATATTTCTTAGAAAACAAATTTAAAAAAACAAAAAAAAATGTTCGGCAAATCTAGACGCCTTAGGCGGCTGATTAAGCGTTTGGGCGGGCAACTAGACGCCCTAGGTGGTAGACTAATTCACCTAAGCTCCAAACCAATTAGTCAGGGAGCCTAGGCGGGGACTAGTCGGTCGTCTAGAACGATTTTTAGAACAGTGCGAAAAGCCTGTCTCTAAGTTCTTCACTCTCTGCCCCCCTCCTTGGCATTTCTTCCTAATCTCACCTCCGGAGTGAACTCCTGCTCCAACAGGAGTTGTTAATACCCAAAGGCATATTTGTGTGATTTAATTAGCGTGTGTGTGCTTTGCGAACATTTGTAGGTTACAAGCAATTCAGTTGATCATATGAGTTGTTTCAGTGAAGCAGCTGGTCGTCTTCAAGAATGTGGTATGTATGATGATTTCTGCATCTCTGTATTTCATCCCAAACACATTATTTATAAGCACACTGTCATTTGAAATGCTTAATACTCATATCAATCGCACGAAAGAATGTGTACCATATCATTACTCCATATCTAACTTAGGCACAACCTTAACCACGGTGTGAGTTTCCTTAAAAAATTGCACAAACTTGATGAAGTTTTTTTGCCTTGAGAAGTGTGAAGGGGTGTTCCATAAAAAATGTTTGTGAATGAATGAACTCCTTACGAACAACACTCAACTCTTGAGTTTTTTTTTTGCATTTTAGTTAGGCCCAGCCATAGTCTTATAACCATTTATTTGTACACCCTTTTTGCTAGTTTTCCATCAATGTTCAGCATTACAATCCCTTATTTAATTCAGAATATTATCAAATTCAATTGTCTGCACTGCTTTTTCTCACATGTAAACTTGCGATGTTTTATCATACAGCTCTTGATGCAGCAACCAAGGGGAACCACTATATTAATTCTAGCCTCAGGTAGTTCCCTCCTTGACATAAATTCCAATGGTAAAGATATTGAGAAAGGGTAAGTAATACTCCGTAACAAAGAACAAGAAAAATTAGGGCAAGTAAATTAACTATATTTGTTGATGCAGTTTGAGCTTAATGTTAGGTGGATGTTTTGAAAAGGATGTATTTCTGAATCCTTATGTCGGATTCAAAATCATAGAATTCCTAATTGGACAATGGTCAGAGAAACTTCGATGCAACTATGTGAATGTGCACACTTGGCACAAGAGAGATGGACACTTAAGAATTAATATTTATGTCTCTTTGTTTCCACGGTTGCCTGCGTTTTTAGTTATTTGTTCTCCAAAACATCAAGTAAAACGTCAAGATCTAGACGTTATGCTGGCATTGTGGATAAAAAGGAACAAAAACATAGAAGAATGTGGACAGAAAAAGAGAGTAAAATAATAATTAATTTCGTGTCTATTTATCTCATGTCACATGTGTATCGTGCTCATCGTTGCATTGGAGATGCTACGCACTCGACTAGGTCATAATGCACATTTCTCAATCAACACTAAAAGGTTAAACTCAATCAATTAGCAACTCTAATCTAAAGGCTTATAAATCAATCTTTCTTTAAGTCTTTCAATTTTGATTTTTTAACATTATGTGTGTGTATAGTATCGTTTTGTTATGCTGGGTTTACTTTTGCTACATATCCTATTGCAGGTTAAACGAGGAAATGAAAGGCATTGAGAATCTTGCCTCACAGCTGTATCCTTTTCTAATATGTCTCTCATAATATAGTAAAGGCACATTAGCCCGGTTAGCATATGAGCATATCTATAATATGAGCCGGATTGGGAGTGGCGTAGGTAGAAGGTTACATTGGGCTGAACCGGTATAATAGTTTTTCTCAGATAAATTTTTACGCAGTTTTCCTACTCATAAAATCAACGTTTTAACCAAATTTGTGGTTGGTCGAGGCCTACCATGCCCCCTTAGCTACGCGCCTACGCTGCTGCCGGTTGGTACAATGGAACCTCACTTTTTTGGCTTATAGTTTTTTCAGGAAACAAACATTTAACTTTATTGATGAGATTAGCTGATCAGATGATAATATTGAAAATAGTTAAAGAGTTGTTTTTGGGTTGAAATTAAGATAACTTACATTTCTTCCCTGCTCTTTTTGATAGTTAGTTCCTCGGTCTTATTTTGTTAGATACACTTTACTTTTTTGTTTGTTCAAAAAATGTGTTCACTTTTGTGATTTGAACTCTATCAACTTTTCACTTTCATACTTTACTCTTTTATGTACTACCTCTATGGCTCTATTTTTAAATAAATGCGTCGTGTTTTATTTTGCACTACTCATATGATCTATTTTGACAACATTTTGTTTACTAATGTAGTAGTAATTTGTTTTTGGGAAAAGTACGGAAAAGGTAATTGTGGTTGAACCCGTTTTCAAATAGGGTCATGTGTTTCATTCTTTATCAAAATGATTCATGTGTTTGAATTTCGTTATCACAAGAGGGTCACGGCGTTAAAAACGTCTGAAAAAGACCGTTAAAAGTAACTCTGATTTTCAAAAGTGCCCGAAAAATTAAAAGAAATATACCGGAAGGTGCGCCTCAATAAGACGATCGCTAGACCATCTTTCTTTTTTGTTTTCAGTCACCCTTGTCACCGGAAAGTCCATCGGAAAAGTGATATTAGCGAAATCATTTTTAAAAAATAATTCAAACAGATCTGAAAAATCCAAAGGCGAATGTGGTTTGGGGTCATCTTGATGAGACGCACCTTTCGATATTTTTATTTTAATTTTTCGGGCACTTTTGAATGGTCTTTTTCAAATGTTTTTAACGGCGTGACCCTCTTGTGATAACAGAATTCAAACACATGAACTACTTTGATAAAGAATGAAACACATGATTCTATCTGAAAACGGGCCCAACCACAAGTACCTTTTCTGTATTTTTCCATTTGTTTTTTGAAAAGTATTTTAAAATTCATCTCATTATAAATATTCAATTTTTTTTTTAATTTTACTAATAGTAAATTAAATATATTCATGATCTAAGTTGCGCGTTTGGAAACGTGGAAAAAAGGAGAAAATATAGTTTCAACCTTTTTGAGGGATCCATTAAAAGGTTCACTTATAAAATAACGACTCTTTATTTTCTTATAATCCGTGTGGAGCTCAAATGTGTCTTATATTTTGGCGAGGAAGGGGTATTATTTTATTTCAATATGTATTTAATCCATACAAAACACATTTTTACACAGTGCGTTCCAGTCAACTCATTTCACCATTTCACACAAATTCCCGCTTACTAAACAGGAATCTATGGATGTCCATTTTTCATTGTCTTCATGCCTGATTGGCATCGCCTCATTACCATGGTTTCTTGTGTATGAAAGGTTTGTGAATCTTATTCTACTCCATCAGCAACTCTTCATACTTCTATTTCGGCTAGAAGATCGGAATCCTCAACTGTTTTCCTTGAATGTCTGAAGCAAAACCCTTCGCAGAAATGTAGATGCCCTAGACACGGCTGTGAACAGGCTCACTCGTTTCCCATGATTCTATTTGGTTTTGCAGTATTACCACAAGTCCACAACTGTCTTATTTTGCATGTCTTGTTTAACATTTATTGGTGAAATGAACTCAAATTTCATCTATTCGTTTTCTGTATATTTTAGAAATACTGTTTTTTTAATTTTATTAGCATGTATTCCTTTGCCCTGGTTTGAAAGTCTTAGGATATGATTGATACAATTAGTTGAAAAGACACTTATGAATTCTTTAGTAATCGTTAACTTTTAATGATCGAAAAGATTTTAAAAAATAAAAGTAGCAGCTGTTTGATATAAAGTTGACCGTTTGATTTAGTTTTGTTTGGTATATAAGCTGTTATGACTAATTAATGTTAAAAGCTATAAACTAGCACAACTGAGCCAAAGACGGTTAAGGTTAGGGGTGAACCGGTTCCGGTTCGGGCCTGGGCCCGGCCGGGCCTCGGTTCATGAAAGGGGAGGCCCGGAACCGGCCCGGGTAATCCCCGGGTCCGGGCCGGACCTCGATTCTTATTTTTTTTTTGGCTTTTCCTAATTAACCCCCAACCCCCCCTCACCCCCAAACCAACCCAAACCACCTCAAATGGCCCATCATACCCGGCCCAACCTAAAAACTTAAAAGAAATTCAAAAAAAAAGAAAAAATAATAATTTGGCTCGGACCGGGCCCGAACCGGCCGGTTCACGACTTAGGAGGCCCGGGCCCGGCCCGCCTACCTCACCGGGCCGAGTGGCCCGAACCGGGCACCAACCGGTTCACCGGGCCGGTCCGGGCCCGCACAGTAGCGGGCCGTTCAGGTTCCGGGCCAACCGGCCCGGCCCGAGTCCACTTCTAGTTAAGGTAGACATCCCCTCAATGTTTGATCACAATATCCACCACTGTCGGTGGTTGGTGATGCCCAATGCGACGAAGGTCACTATCACATAAAAAGAGATAATAATTTAAAATTTTAAAAAGAGATTTCTTTGTTTATCTAAAAGCTACATTTTGGTGGACAAACTCAAAGAAATATAGATAGAAGGATAAGAAAACACAACCATGCAAGAAAAATATAAACACGAGTTGCAAGAAAATAAAAAATAAAGTGACAAGTTCCTTCGGGGACATCCAATAAAATTGGATACACTGATAGGGAATTAGGGATGACACGCACAATTAGCCAATAACCACCGCATTTACTATTCTAAAATTGTTAAAATTATGATCGAAACAAATAAAACAACATCATTTATCATTATAATAATACAATCTACTGATCTAGTGTGAAGAATAAATAAATAGTGTCCAGTATATGAAAAATTATGATAATCACGTTAAGCAAATATGACAATTTTTTATTTATTTCAAATGTAATCCTTTTGTTTTTTGTTTGCTACTCTTTTCCTTTTAGAATATATTTTCGGGATATTTTAATGGGGTTTTTACCTAAATATTACTAAATTGATGTCAATTTCCAAAAAATGTGACCACTTTTAAATATTGACAAAAGTGTGACTTACAAGGTCATATATATGGAATACTATGTCACTACAGATTTTTATGTCACTATGATTTGTCACTTTCAGACTTTCATGTCACTATTATCGAAAAACATGTCACTAAAGCCAGAAAATATGTCACTAAGCCGGAAAATATGTCACTTTGATCATTCCCGTACTGTAAACCGCCACAACAGCAACCATGACTGTTCAGCCACCACCCTTACCCCACACCCGGAAATCGCAGTCGTCTGCCACCCTAACAGTAACCACACCAGCCTCTCCCTGACCCAACCCCTGCACAATCGTGGTCCAAAACCACATCCCACCCCAGCTCGCAACTGCCAGTCTGCCACATCGCACCACCACGCCCACCGCTCGCCATCACGCCGCCGCACCTCCTCCTGTAAGTAACCCAAACGTCGTCGCTGCTCTATACACTGCGAGACCGTCACAGCGAGCTCATCACGGCAAGCCCACCACCGCACCCGCAACAGTAGACGTCAGCCCAACATCGATCGGCGCTCGTCACCCCTAACCTTCATCACCTCCATATCCTGTAACCCTAGCCGCCGCCTTCCACCGCGTGTGACCCTAGCTCCACCGACGTATCCGGTAGCGGACGCGCTCCATGATGACTGATACCGAAATAGAAAGAGAAGGAAAAGCAGAGTGAATTGATGGCGCGGCGATGGCTAGGAGAGAAGGTGGTAGCCGAATTTAGGGTTTTGTTGAGTGTTCAGTTCCTAGTACGGCATGCGCAAGTGAGAATTGTGGATCTGGAAGCCCACACCCTGCCTTTCAATTAATGCATCCATTAACAGGCCGAATAACATCAGTGTATTCATTTTCATAGGCCGCCGATCGAGTGCGACGGGAACCTAATCGGCCCATGTTTAATCACTTTTATGTCTTAACAAAAATCAGTCATATTTTTGTCCATAAGAAGTCTATGAGTTATATCTATGCCATTATTAATTTTTACTACACTTTCCTTTTTATTAATTTTTCATTTAGAAATATTCAATTATCTTTACTTTTTCTAAATGTAGAGGCTGTTTGGCAACACTGTTGAATTGTGTAATAAGCAAAAAAGGTAAGGTTGAAGTTACTTTCTTGGCTGTATTAGCTGAACTTACTGTAGATGACTATTTTAGTTATTTTTACATATAATTATTTCTTTATTTTTATTAATAAAATATATTTTAAAATTATTTTTTCTTAAATCAGCAGAATCAGCCAATTCACCACTTCAGCAAGAACTTCATAAATTTCAGTAGAATAAACTAAATCAGTTGATTTTTGTGTTACCAAGCGGGCTCATAATCTTCATTTTCGTACTTTTCTCTCTTACTTTTTTTTACGTTATTCATTATCTCAACTACTATTCCATTAAATATTGCATAAAATCCTATTGTAATAGAAGAGTATTTATTTTGATTATAACTCGATCATATTTTCTTGTCAAAAAACAAAAAATCAATTCATTAAAAAGAAAAGAATTTTAAGAAAACATATGAGTATTACGTACCGAGTGAGTATGTCCTTGTAAGCATGCGTAAATTATTTGTCTTTTATCAGCATTCGTTTTTCTTCTCCTGAGAAACCACAATCCACAGCCGTCGGTTTGTTTGGTACCAGTTCAAGTATAATACTTGTAGTTCCTGAAAAAAAGGACTGGTCTCTGTTGCTTAAAGGCTTTTCTCCCTCTTCTAGTCCACGTTATTCATGACCTTTTTTATACTGTAGCTTAGTTTCAGGGCTTACTGCTTGAGTTAATGTGACTTGGGAGGCCCTCATCTACTTCTTTTTTCCATTTATTTGGATGTTTGCTCAATAATCAATCGGCACATTTTCGTCATCTTGCTCTCAGTGCCCCCATTTCAGTTGAATAACTGTGAATCTTTTTACTAAAAGGTCCAATCTTGATGGTGAGAACCACAATTTCAACTGGAATCCATATAGGAGCACAATGAATATACCATTTTGCTCTGGTATTTGCTTTGTTTCATGCACTTTTTGTGTTTGTGTTATTTACTCTCTTGGCTTTTGGGTCATAATGCTCATATATATCAAACCACTCTAATGAATTGAATCTGATGAATTTGTTAGCCTAATTCAATGCCTTATAAACTAATAAGTCTCTCTTTAAAACTTCTATATGAGACTGTTATCAGATTAAGATGGATCTTTCTATAGAGTAAGCTGAGGTAGATCATGGAAAAGCTGAGGGAGATGCTAGCTCTTTCCGTCACAAGTATTGAATGGAGCTATGCCATCTTCTGGACAGTTTCTTCTTCTCGACCAGGGTATGAAAACACTTGCTTTTACTTTTAATTCTTCATTCCCCCCCTGCTTGAATAAGTTCACTATTTTCTTCCTCAAAAACATGGAGGGTTGAAGGCTATTTGTAATAGGTCCAACAATTGTTATCTTTCTTGCATATTTGGACTATTAAATCATACTCCATGTTTTATTTGGTGTGACTTGCAAAATAGAGAAGCATGAAAAAGCAAAGTTAATGCAATGTCTGCTTCATACTCGGATCATTTAATACAAATTTCCATTGTTATCCTCCTCCTCAATTCTCAATCAAAGCACCCTTTGATACTTCCAAGAAGTGGTGCATCTTATTTATTTAGGATGGTATAGAGTATAGATGCTCCCTCCATCCCAAATTAGTTTATGTTATAGAAAAGCTAATCACAAATGTGGAACATTGAGAGAATAATTGATATCCCTGGAACATCAAATGCATCTTAACTTTTTCAAACCACAAAAGTGTTTGATGTGAGAAGAGTTAATAGGGGCAAATTTGGCATGTAGATGCAAAATATTCATCTTGTTTCACACAGAAATATTTGCTATATAAAAAAATATGAAGATTATACATTTTAAATATGATATTCACTCAATACTCTGTAAGGGAAGTTGGGGACAAGTTGTAGTGATGAGAACATAGAAGCATACAAGGAGGCTAAAAGACAAGCAAAGAAAGCCGTAAGGGAAGCACGAGGGAAAGTGAACAAGGAGTTGTATGAAAAGTTGGAATCTAAGGAAGGAGAACTAGATATTTATAGACTTGCTCGTCTTCGTGATCGCATGACTCAAGATATTGCAAAAGTTAAGTGTGTGAAGGATGTCGATCAGAGGATATTAATGGACAACAGAGAGATAAAAAAGAGGTGGAGGTCATACTTTGATACACTATTCAACGGGAACAAAACGCAAGATATCGGTGATTTGTCCGTACCAGATTGCATGGTAAATCGTGATTTTGTGAGAAGGATCCAAACAACGGAAGTTAAAGAAGCTCTGAGGAAGATGGGACGGAAGAAAGCAGTGGGTCCAGATGGCATACCGAACAAGGCTTGGAGAAGTTTGGAAGAGAGAGGCGTCGAGTGGTTAACAAGTTTCTTCAACATGATTTGGAGAAACAACAAGATGCCAAGGAGTTGGAGGAAGAGTACTCTTATCCCCTTATTTAAGAATAAAGGGGATGTACAAGAATGTGGCAACTATCGAGGGATTAAGCTTATGAGTCACACCATGAAACTTTGGGAGCGAGTGATTGAGCAAAGACTTCGAAGAACTGTGAAGATTTCAGAGAATCAATTCGGTTTTATGCATGGTCGCTCAACAACTGAGGCAAATCACCTTCTTCGGCAACCTATGGAGAAGTATAGAGACGCTCATAAGGATCTGCATTTGGTGTTCATTGACTTAGAAAAGGCATATGATAGGGTACCTCGAGAAGTTCTTTGGTGGGCCTTAACTAGAAAAGGCATAACACGCAAGTATATCAGCATCATCATGGATATGTATGAGGATTGTACTACAAGTGTCCGTACTAGTGTAGGGAGGACTGAAGAGTTCCCTATTACTATCGGAGTGCACCAAGGATCAGCTCTGAGCCCTTTCTTATTTGCCATAGTCATGGATGAACTTATGAAGTCAATTCAAGACGATATACCGTGGTGCATGATGTTTGCCGACGATATTGTATTGATTGATGAGACGCAATCAGGTCTTAAAGCAAAGTTGGAAGTATGGCGACAAACATTGAAGAATAAGGGTTTCAAACTAAGTCGGAGCAAGACAGAGTACATAGAGTGCAAGTTTGGTGGAGGTAGAAACAGTGGTAATAGCGGAATTACTCTGGATGGTAAGGAGATACCAGTCAACGACATGTTCCGTTACTTGGGCTCCATAATTCAGAAGGACGGTGAGTTAGATGGAGATGTATCTCATAGAATCAGAACAAGGTGGATGAAGTGTAAGAGTGCGTCAGGATTTCTATACGATCGAGGTATGCCGACTAGACTGAAGGGTAAATTTTATAGGACAACAATTAGGCCAGCATTATTGTATGGCGTAGAGTATTGGACGGTGAAACAATGTCACATTCAAAAGATGAGTGTGACAGAGATGCGCATGTTGCGTTGGATGTGTGAGCATACTAGGAAGGACCGCGTGAGGAATGAGACAATCAGACAAATGGTGGGAGTAGCACCTATTGAAGACAAGATGCGGGAGTCGCGCCTACGGTGGTTTGGTCATGTGCGTAGAAGACCGAGTGATGCACCTGTTAGACGAGTTGAGATGTGTGGAGAAGAGGCAGAGAAGAGAGGAAGAGGAAGACCCAAACATACGTGGGTTAGGGGAGTTCGAAGTGATATGCTTCTTCTGGGGTTGGATGAGGGCATGACTTTGGAGAGAGCTAAGTGGAGGGCGGGTATTCGTGTGGAGGAGTGATCTCGTATCATCTTTTCCCCTCATCTTTTTTCCTTGTTTTTATCCTTATATATATAAGCATTATTTGTATCCCTTGTATTTTATCATTTTTATGTATATTCATCTCTTTTTATATTATCTTTTTATCATAGCTTATCTTTTTTATCTTTATTTTCTTTCTTTTCCTTTTGGTGGTGATATCATGTATCGATTCATGTTAGCCGACCCCAATATCTTTTGGGACTAAGGCTTGGATGTTGTTGTTGTATTCGCTCAATACTTTGTATATTTTAAGCAATATGAAGATTACGCAATGCATATAATTATATATACATATGTATGTATATGATTATATATTATATATAAGTTACCACAATTTGCCTTTTGCACTATTCAATACTCTACTTTCACACTGTAGATCAAATTCCTCATATTTTAAAAAAAATACAGACTTAATGGAGACTAATATGAAGATTAATCAATACACACATGAAAATTTTCTCAATTTGTGTTCAATCCTTCATGGAGACTTGCCATTAATAACCATCTTAATCAGAATTTGAATCATGTTTCTTTTTTTGATAGATCTCTTATACTCATTATTTATGCTAGAGTTACTTGAGATGTGAAATATTTAATAGCTTAAGAAGCCATAAAAATATATGAACTTATTGTGTGCATTTTTCTGTTTTTTACTGATATCATAAAGGGTTTTGGAGTGGGGTGATGGATACTATAACGGAGATATAAAAACAAGAAAGACAGTGCAGTCTGGAGAAACAGTCACTGACAGGCTTGGCTTGCAGAGAACCGAATGTTTGAGGGATCTTTACGAATCTCTGCTAGTGGGTGAATTGAACCCGCAAGCATCCGCAGCTTTATCTCCAGATGATCTCACAGATACGGAATGGTATTTCCTGGTTTGCATGTCATTCGTGTTTAACATCGGCCATGGGTAATGTTTTTGCATCTCTTCTAAAACAGTTCATTCCTGTGTAATTTGGCCAGATTTGCCATAATTCCACAATGTATATCATAATTGGGTCAGGTTCACTAACGTGCCGAACTTATACTCATATTGGATGTATAATGGATTAATGTCCATTACCCCATTGTCCAATATATAAGTATGTAGTAAATCTCATATCTAGGGGATATTTTTAGCCCCTAGGATGAATATGTAGAGTCCATAGATAGTGTCAACTGCGAAGGTATGTGTGTGTTCCTATGATGCGGAGAGGGTGTTCAATGTTTTTCCCAAATCAGCTAAAAAAACAAACAATTGGCATGTAATATAATTGGGGGGAGTACAAAAAACTGACACATTGATATGGAACTACCCTTATCGTGTTAACCTGTATGATGGAACTGAAGTTTAATATGGTATGAAAGCCCAGTCCAACTATCGTTTGTTTGTTTGTTTGTTTCACACATTGTGATTTAGAGTAGCATGATTGGGTAGGTTCGCCTATTTATCTACACTTATGTGGTACTTTTAACTGTCGCAAAACAACCATTAATGTACATCTTATTCATCAGGCTTCCTGGGAAGGCGTTTGAAAAGAACCAAACTATTTGGCTATGCAATGCTGAACGGGCAGATGGAAAAGTATTTAGTCGTGCGCTGCTTGCCAAGGCAAGTAGATAGTCATTCTTAATAAACTCTGTTCTGCTCTAGTGAAAATATATATTTTCTTTTTGTACTGGAAAGTCTAAATCTTTTTTCCCCTTCGGTAATGCATGAAACCATGAATGGATTTCCTCAGAGTGCATCTATTCAGGTACTAGTACTTTTCAAGTTCACTTTTCACTAACTGGAAAAGTTGCATTTTTTGTTAACGATTCATAATTGGCTGGGATCACTCAAATGAGCTTAACCGCACTTAAAGATTGAATACTATCTATTACTTAGTCTAACACATGACCTTTTAATGTTTATACTACCTCCGTCCCAAAATTAACTTCCCATTTCGGATTACGATGCTTGATTGACAATAAAGCAATTTGATCCCTGTTCAGACTCAGATTACTTTTAGTAAATAAAATTTACATATTAAGAAACTACATTAAAACCGCTATAAAGCCTGATAAAAAATGAAAATTTGATATAAATTTGATATATAAAACAAAAGATTAAGAGTAATTTAAGTTGACCATGTGAATAGTGAATGAGAAGTTAATTTTGGGACGGAGGGAGTATTTGTTAATGTTAAATATTTTATATGTTAATGATGAACCTTAATGTAAAAAACCTTGTAGACTGTTGTATGCTTTCCGCATTTGGGAGGAGTCATCGAGTTTGGAGTCACCGAACTTGTGAGTCATTTTTTTATGTGCTGCTTTGCTTCTTTAATCCATTCTTTTAAATCTAGGCATTTTTTCTTCTTACATGACATTTCATGTTCAGGTAATTGAGGATATCAACCTCATCAACCGCATAAAAACATCCTATCTGAGCATTCCTCACCTTGGCAGAAATGACAAAGACATTATATGTGGTAATGCAAACCAAGATAGTAGTGATGCCACCCCAAAACAAATGAATATCCTTTCCGGTAACAACAGTTCGAATAGTATGAAAGCTGACCAACTATCAAGGGATGAAGTTATGGTTGGAGGACTTGGAGGTACTCTAGAAGTTGTATTGTTCATTGAACTTTTCATTAATTTCAGCTATTCAGCAAAAAAATATCTTTTGTATGACTTTTTCATTACCAACCTATTTAGCCAATGTGGGTAAGAAAAAAATCCATTTTAGTCTTGTGAATATATGCCCGTTCTCATTTTGGCTATTAATTTGGCAAATGTCAACTGAAAAATTGTATGGAAATTAACCATATAAGTGGCTGAAAGGATCATAAGCGATAAATAATACGTAGTATATAGTTTTTCATTTCATTTTCATTTACCCCAGTGCCGCAAAGGCTCCCCACCTACGGTGGGGTAAGGGGGGGTCGGATGTACGCAGTCTTACCCCTGTACTAAAGCACAAAAAGACTGTTTCCGGATGACCCAGTGAAAATCCCGTCCAAAATTGCATGGACTGACTGCTGCTTCATGACAAAGAAGCGCAAACAGTTTAGTGAGCCATTTTGCTTTATTCCATCATTAGCTCAAGCCAAAAAATAATGAATCTTTGGCTCCATTGCAAATGATGGAAACAATACGTAGTATATAGTTGTGGGACCAAAATTGGAAAAATGAAAGTTAGAGACTAAAAGTAGAAATAGCTAATAGCCGTGGGACTAAAAATGGACATTTTCTATTGTGAAATAAGTTTGTGTTCGGTGCATCTAACAGAGATGGCTAATAGGTATAAAGACTGCCTACCAAACGAGCACTACAAACTTAATCTTTGCCTGAAAAAATGTGATCATATCTGGTCTGTTTTGAGCTCATCTAAATGTCTCTAGTTTGGTGTGGTCTAATTAAAATTATACGTGGTGCAAATAATATGAAAAAAGAATAAGATAGACTGAAAAACACTCAATGATATTAAGTACAGCTGTAAATGCTTCACAACAACTACCAAGCTGGCAAATTGTTGAAGAAGAAGATAACAAGCATGGAAACCATAACAACTCTACAAATTCGAGTGGCTCTATCTCCCAGAACTATGAAAACTGTGAAAAGGTCTCCAGCATCTCAAATGATGAAAAGGCAATAAAATATTCTCTACAAGTACATCAAGAATTCAATCAAGAAGCAAATTTGCATCCCCTGGATAACGAGGTTCATTACCGAACTGTTCTTTCCAGCATTCTGAAAAGCTCCCACCAGTTTCCTTTGGGACCATACTTTAACGACACTTATAGAGAATCAAGTTTTGTCAGCTGGAACAAGGAAGTATCTTCACAGAAGTCAATGAGTGGGACTTCACAGAGATTTTTGAAGAAGGCACTCTGCAGGCTTGATGGAAAGAACGGATTTTTTGGGCCGGCAGCCAATGAAGAAGCTGATAGGAGCCGAGTCTTATCTGAGAGAAGGCGTAGAGAGAAAATAAATGAAAGATTTGTCATTCTTGCATCGTTGGTTCCCAATAGTGGCAAGGTATGTATACTTGTATTGCAACCAGTTCTTATATTTCATTTCAAACTTCAAAGTTATATTCCATCTTGTTGAAGTATATCTCAGGAATTTACCCAAGTATCGCCACCATATAAGAGATGTACGTTCTAACTTTGTAGCCAATGGTGACAAGTTGTGTAAACAAGATCTTATATACAAAAATTGTGTCGCATCTGGTTTTGCAACTGTTGGATTGTCACCTCCTGTATTTAACTGGCCTTAAGTCGAGTGTGAAGTGAAATTACTCTAGACACGTGGCAACTGACAACAATATGGTTGAAATGCCAAAAATGATGTAATATTGGAAGATCATAAGATCTCATCACGTGTAACTGCTGAGATATGGGTAAAATTTGTTGTTAGTCTTTTAACAATAAGGGTTTGCCAAAGGAAATATTCAACTTTTGGTCTCATGACTTTTTGTCATTCTCGCTTTTGAATCCCAACTTCTACTTTTTCACTTTCAGTTCCAGGGCTCTAAAGTTCACTTGTGGTTTTTCTGACCACTTATCACGTTGATTTCTCGTCTATTTTCAAAAGATAAGTGGCCGTTAAGAACCAAAAGAATCAAAAGATCATAGTCATGTATCAAAAGTGAGAAAAAATGACATTTGCCATACAGTCTTGGCCCCGAGACCAAAATGGACCTTTCTTTGCAAAACCAGTTCCGAAGTTCGGCAGAAAGTACTGTTGAAGTTGCAGATCATGCGAATTAGACCAATAGCTTTTCATTAAAATTGTCTACCACCACATTCCCAAATCCCTAATTGATCTGTACTTTCGGACTTTGATGTGATTCAGGACCAACTTTTCCACTTTTCCACTTTTTCATTGTACTAAAGCAAGAGAGACTGTTTCCGGATGACCATAGTGAAAATTGCGTCAAAAATTGCAGGGGTTGACTGCTGCTTTATAACAAAGAAGCGCAGACAGTTTAGTGAGGCATTTTACTTTTATTCCATCATAATCTCAAGCCAAAAAATAGTGAATCTTTGGCTCCATTGCAAATGATGGAAAAATCGATCTAAATTGCCAGATGGAAAAAATATCACTTTGGGATTAATTTAGCCCTAAACTCCTATAGTTGTGTGTCCAAAAAAGCACATTACCCTCTATGATATACACACATATATCTAATTTGAGTGCATGCATTGATGTAAGGATATTCTTGTTGCGTGTTTATGCAGGTTGACAAAGTATCTATACTTGATGAGACAATAAAATATGTCAAAGATCTCAAACGAAGAGTTTGCGGGGCCCAATCTGAGAAAGGACTTGAAGTTAACGAAGGAATGATGAGAGGTGATTCTGCTGAGAGGACGTCTAGCAATTGTGGTACAAACACAATCGACAATGCCATGAAGTTATTGCGTAATAATAAGAGAAAGGCCTGTGAAATGGAAGTGAAAAAAAGTCCAGTTTGTGAGATAGCAGTAAGTGTTATAGGTGAGGAAGTTACCGTTGAGATAAGGTGCGAGTGGAGCGAAGGCGTGTTGATTCGAATCATAGAGTCATTGACCAATCAACAATTGGATTGTGTTACGGTCCGATCTTCCCGTGGTGATGGGATTCTTTCCATGACTATTAAATGCAAGGTATGTCATGAACCATAGCTGGTTTTGATTATGACACCCTAAAGGAATAACAAATGAGTAGTTCAAACCTATCAGACTTGAAGTTTTTAGATTAGGTAAATCACATATTATAACTCAGTTTTGTCCAAAAATTGTCATAGTTGTTATATTGTTTTTAGTATTAGTAAAACAAGATTGCTTTAGATCATAATTAGTCCCAAAATATTCTCTATGTTTTGATGTGACACACATTTTAGAACAAAAAGAATTATGTAGTTGAGTCAATTTTGAAGTAGATCGAGAAGCAATATCAATTATACAAAGTATTGAGGAATTTGTTCCACTTCGGCTAAATACAAAATAAAACACTACAAGACTTTTTATTACTTCACCTATGAGGTTGATATTTCGTAATGGAACCTCAATTTTTAAATGGAACGAGAAGGGAATCTGATCTTCAATGGTGATATGGACCCCCATAGGAAAAAGTGTATGGTCTAGATGACATGTCGGGCGGTGAGGGTATGTGTCATTTTAAAAAATGCATCATTTTCATTTCATTTTCATTTACCCCGGAGCCGCAAAGGCTCCCACCTACAGTGGTGTAAGGGGGTCGGATGTATGCAGTCTTACCCCCGTACTAAGCACAGAAAGACTATTTCCGGATGACCCATAGTGAAAATCGCGTCCAAAATTGCATGGACCGACTGCTGCTCCATAACAAAGAAGCGCAGACAGTTTAGTGAGCCATTTTGCTTTATTCCATCATAATCTCAAGCCAAAAAATAATGAATCTTTGGTTCCATCTTTTAAAAAATGCATATATTAAAATAATATATTATTCACTTAGGGAACATCAAATTTTAATATGGAGAACTATCAAATAAGCCCTCGAACATTCATAAAAAGTTCAAATAAGCCCTTTTATAGGAGGCTCTGTCTGGCTGTCACCATTTGGGGCAGTTTTTGGTGGAATTTTTTGATGAAATTTTTTGAGTATCTTCATTATTAAGTCTAGTTTACTCATACCAAATTTCAGATAACAATTCAATCGGGAAGGCAGTCAAATGAATTTTTGAAGATAAATGCGCGGTTAGACAGCGTAGTTTATTTAAGAAAATCATTTGACTTTTTTCTAAAATGAATTTTTAGCTGAAATTTAGTATGGGTAAACTAGACTTGATGAAGAAGGTGTTCAAAAAATTTCATCAAAAAATTCCACCGGAAACCTCCCCAAATGGCGACATCCGGACAAAACCTCCTGTAAAAGGGCTTATTTTCACTTTTAATGAAAGATTGAGGGCTTATTTGATAGTTCTCCCAATTTTAATATGAATATTTCCTTCAAAACAAAATGAGAAGAATGTTATTGCATAACTCAATACAAAGAGAAACCTATGGGGTAATGGAAATACTTTATCTGTAAATTCACTACAAATGTTACATCTTCAATTGCAGGTGAAAGCATTGAAAGTTGTATCACCGGTGTGGATTAAGAAGTTGCTTAAAAGAGTACTTTGAGAGTTCAATCTTAGTGATGATACATATCGACGGAAAAGGTCATTTTATACACTGTGTGTTCACATACCATCATTGTATTTGAAATTAGGTCACTAATAAGTCGTGTCTCTATGAAAAAACTCATCTGAAAATTTGTAAATTGCTCACCCAATCTATAGAAAGACATTATTTGCATGCTAAAGACATTCATTTGCGCAATAGTCAATACACTTTACAAAATGTGTATGTCTGAGTGAATATTACTAATTTATAGCATGAGACATATTTGTAATTTTATGATTCTCTGTTTATTATAAATACAACATCAGGACACCCTATTAGGGTGAACTATTATTCCACAATTATTATTTCATATGGTATCATTTGTCTAGGTTATCCTAGTTTGCCTAGTTTCCGCACGGGTAGCTCAGTTCGTTCAGTGGTGGGAAATTTGGAGCAATGACTAAGGTTCGAAACCCGCAACGGCCGTGTGGAAGTTACAGCTTCTACCATCATTGAGCCGAGTGAGTCAGCGTGACTTACATCCTTTCCAAAATCCTGTCGAGTCGGGGTGTGAGGAGCTCCTGGGGTGGGAGATTCCACCTTTTGGAACAATTAAATATGACACACTTATTGTCTGAACATTTATTGCATATGGACAATTCACTGTAAAGTTGGTTTTTCTTCACACAGACACTTCTTCTGTTGCCTATCTAGCACTTTTTATTTGTTGCATATTTGTGTTAGGGTTCTGTGACTGAGAACGAGTCCAGGGACGTCTTGGGGTAGTAGGGTACCCGGTTGAGCCGTTGAGGTGATAACCTGCCTGCTAGGGTTACTCCTCTTTTTGCCCGTGGCTGGAAGAGCGCAGTAAGAGCGCAGGGGGAAGGGGGGAGTCCATGACTTCTCTCTGGGGACTAGTTCTTCTAATGATCAATATTTTATTAAGGCTGAAAAAGGAATATAAATAGGCATCCTGCCTTTACATGATAGAGTTCTAGTCTAACTAAAACTGTAACCTCTAAATACTTCTATTACTAATAGGACTTCTAATCTAATAGAAATTGTAACCTCTAATACCTCTATTCCTAATATGAAGTAATAAATAAAATATAAAAAATAGCATCAGGATAATTTCCCTCTTCTAATTAAACTGTTCTAATTAAATCTCCTGCTAGATCCATAAAATGCATCCGTAACATCACTCCCTCCCTCGAAACTGAGCTTGTCCCCAAGCTCATATCCTGGATAAGCAGTGATAAAACTGGTAAACGGTTCCCAAGTGGCCTTGTCTGGTGTGCTTAGGATGGACCCGGGCCGGTCCGGTTCTAGTTCCTGGTCGGGCCCGGGCGGGCTTTTTTTGCAAAATGTTGGGCCCGGAACCGGCCCGGGTTGATACCGGGTCCGGGCCTAACCGGGCCGGGTAGTGTTGGACTCGGGTCGGGCCAACCGACCCGCTACTGTGCGGACCCGGCCCGGCCCGGTGGGATGGTGGTTCGGGCTCGGGCCCTTCAAAACGTGAACCGGCCCGGCCGGTTCGGGCTCGGGCCGGGCCAATTTTTTTTTTTTGATTTTTTTTTAAGTTTTTGGGTTGGGCTGGGTATTTAGGGCCATTTGAGGTGGTTAGGGTTGGTTTGGGGGTGAGGGGGAGGGTTGGGGGTTAACTAGGAAAAGCCAAAAAAAAAAAATTAGAAGCGAGGCCCGGCCCGGCCCGGACTCGGGGGTTACCCGGGCCGGTTCCGGGCCTCCCCTTCTGGAACCGAGGCCCGTCCGGGCCCGAACCAGAACCGGTCCTTGCCTAGGGCCGGGCCGGGCCCGGGTCAAGTTCATTTTTTTTTGGTTTCTAATTAACACCCGACCCCCCCCCCCCCCCCAAACACCCAACCCTAACCTAGAAAAGCAAAAAAAAATGAAAAAACAAAAAAAATTGAACCGGGCCCGGCCCGAACCGTCCGGGCCGGTTCACCAAAAGTTGGGCCCGAGCCCGGCCCGCCCGACCCGCCCAAACGGGCTAAAAGCCCGGAACCGGCCAACCGGTTCCGGTCCGGTCCGGGCCAAAACAGTAACGGGCTGGGCCGGTTCCGGGTCGGGCCGGGCCGGTTTAGTCCATCCCTAGGTGTGCTGCCTTGCCATTGAACTAATAGTTCCATTTATAGTGTTGGCAGACAACTCCAAGTCTGGGAAGCCATCATCTTCTTCCTGCTCATCTTTTATCTCGATCAAGAAAAGTTTTTTGCATCAGTGATTCATCATCCACCGTTCATCACAATTATAACATAGCCCTTTTGCTCGTCTTTCTGCCATTTCATCCTTCGTGAGTCGCTTACTCGCTTAACAATAGGATTTCCTGCCTTTGTTGTCACAAGCGCTTGTCTAAGTTGTGGCGGGTTGCTGTGTTATTTCATATTTGTTGTAGGACCCGAGACTTTTACAGGTGCAAGCGTCAGTGTTTGCCGTGCTTCCAATGTCCGTGCAAGGTTCATGGCGTAACCCAGGTTGCCTGGTTTTGCTATCTCCACATCAGCCCGTAAGTGGGGATGGAGACCTGCGACAAACAAAGCAATCTGATGGGGGGACTGTATTTGTGAAGTTCTTGCTAAGGCCTTCTGAAATTGAGCATAATATTCATCAACTGATCCGATCTGCATCAGAAGTTTCAGATCTCCAATCGGGTTAGAACTCAAAGGGGGCCCAGACAAAGATCTTTAAACCTCTCCTAATTGACTTCTCCTTCTTCCTCTATCATTTGATCGAACCACAGTTGTGCATCATCTATCAAGTGGAATGAGACCATATTCATCTTTGCAACACTAGGAGTTTCTTGGTTCAAGAAGAATTTTTCGCACCTTTTCAACCAACTGGTACTGGTAGGGTCGTAGGTGCCATCAAACACAGGAAATTCCATCTTCCCATACTGTGGTTTATAGAGGTTTGAGGTGTTGTGTGATATGAGGTTGTTATCGGGTTGCTCTTCATGTGTTTCTGTTGATTTGGAATCCCGTTTTTGGACTGCCAGAGATAGAGCGGCAATCTGCCCTTCTATGGCGGTTACCTTAGCAGTCATAGCCTCCATAAACTCCTTCATCATGGTGGTTAAATCATCATTCTGTGGCGCCATGGATCGTGATAGCTCTGATTCCAAATTGTTAGGGGTCTGTGACTGAGAACGATTCCAGGGACGTCTTGGGGTAGCAGGGTACCCGGTTGAGGTGATAACCTGCCTGCTAGGGTTAGCCCTCTTCTTGCCCGTGGCTGGAAGAGCGCAGTAAGAGCGCAAAGGGAAGGGGGAAGTCTGTGACTTCTCTCTGGGGATTAATTCTTCTAATGATCGATATTTTATTAAGGCTGAAAAAGGAATATAAATAGGCATCCTGCCTTTACATGATTAAGTTCTAGTCTAACTAAAACTATAACCTCTAAATACTTCTATTACTAATAGGACTTCTAATCTAATAGAATTTGTAACCTCTAATACTTCTATTCCTAATAGGAAGTAATAAATAAAATATAAAAAATAGCATCAGGATAATTTTCCTCTTCTAATTAAACTGTTCTAATTAAATCTCCTGCTAGATCCATAAAATGCATCCGTAACAATTTGACATGAGCAGAAGCTTAAAGTATGAATAAATTTCCGTTGATTCTATGAATATCTGGAAAATTCATTCAAGGACTCAATATAAATGAATATATGAATACTAAATGGTATATTGATTAATAAGAATTCCCAATAAAAATGACCCCTTTCCAGTAAGAACAAAGCCATATGTACAGGCAAAAAATCCTAAGATAGGAAATAATACCAAGTGTAGTTAAACTAGGAAACTACATGAAGGGTTATTCTATTTGAAGGACTTATTCCCAGGTGTTGTTGTTGAAGCCTGTGTGAAGTAATTCTTCAACTTGACATCGTAGCTCAGCGTGCTCGGTAGAACTTATTTGGTAAAGATATCCCATGAACAAAGTCAATTTGGTGTTGAATACCATGAAGAGGTGACAGACCTAGCAGGTGTGCAGGAAGCAGGAGGAAATACATCCTTTAAGGGTGTGTTTGAGAGTTGGGTTTTGGAGGGTTATGACTCTCCTTTTCATGTTTGAGAGTTTAAAAAATTGGAGGGGTGGTTTTGGAGGGCATTTGTAACCCTTCAAAACCCTCCAAATGCTTAATTTTTAAGTTTCCCCAATTTGGAGAGTTTTGGAGGATAATTAACAAGATGACAATTTAAGCTAAATTAGAAACGAATATCAGCTCAATGATTTGAATTCCTCATATCTCAAAGTGATTTTAATTATAAATCCTTCAAAAATCTTCTCCTTCCAATTTTATTACTCTCAAATACAAAGAAGGGCTTCCTCACCCTCCCCTCCCTTTCCCCTCCAACAACATATCTCCAAAGCCATTCCCTCTCCTTCCCTCCAAACTCCCAAACATACCCTAAGGAAAATGGTTCAGAGGCAGGACATGGTTGTCTCTAAAGTATAGGGAAGTGACTTCTAATCACTTTTAGAGGCAATTTATTGGTTGTCGCTAAATGATGGTTGACTCGAAAATCACATTTAGAGACAATCAAATGTGTGACTCTATATGGTCTACAACCATTTAGAGGCCATATTATTGTGTTCCAAAATATCATTTGAGAGTTGAGACAACCCAATTATCCTATCCTAGAATATCACTTGTGTCGATCATATCACTTCATTTCATAAAATAAAAATGAGAACCTTTACAAGGATAAAATGAAATTGAGAACCTTTATTTGAGACGGAGGGAGTAGTAGCGTTCAAAGTCTAACAACAACAACAACAACAACAACAACAATAATAATAATAATAATAATAATAATAATAATAATCTTAAGTGTACTAATACTATTACCACACTCAATAGCCGATTTAGGCCGGTGTAGGGACACTCCATTGCCTCGACGAAGATATTGTGGATTTGGTAAAGGTCGGTGTAATATACTATTTTGAGCAAGTGATTTTTGGTTGTCCCAAAAAATTTGTTAGTTTCATTTTTAATCAATTAATTCATGGTTCTTATTAATTATTTCTTTTCTTCTTCACAAATCTCAATTACGCAGTTTTTACATAAATATTACCGATGTCCATCAACTTGAAAAAATATTAATGTACAGAGGGACTAATTTTTAAAGACTTTGAATCCATTAAAGTCATTAACATGATTGTTATTTTAGCGCAAATAACGTTCGAGTACCGTTTGGAATACCTCTTATGCTTCTCTAACCATCTCGGCAATAGGAGCTCTGGAGGGCATCGAGTTAGTGGCAAAAATGTTACGTAGTATTTTTTACACAAGTACCGGGTTCTATGACTATTGAATTAGATATTGACATCTTTTTTCAATAACCCTAGCTCTTTATATGTCATGGAGCGACATAGTTAAATAATTTTCTTACATTCTACGTAGTATAATAAAACTAAAAAAATAAAACATCTTTTACCCGAGTAAAAAATAAGATTGCATGTGTTAAAATTTGCTACATACACATTTGTCTTAATGCTATCTCAAATTTGTGTTCACCTTTCTAGTTAAGGATATTTTGATCTGGAATCAATTTTGTGATCTGTTCTACGAAAGTAAAAATTATTTTTCTTTAGTGTATATATTAACTATTAACATAAATCTTAATATATTTTCGCAGAGAGTTTGAAATCTTTGAAAACTTTATTGATTACATATATACTAATCATATCATGATACTAAAAGTGGTGTTTAACAGGTAGATAAATAAGTTATGCATGTATAAAGGGTAATTCTTTTACTCATTGATGTAACTTTAATATCGTACAATTTCTTCATAAAATTGAGATCATTTTTTGTTTAGTAATATGGAACATCTTTATTTTTTATTTTTTATTGCATAATTTACCTGTTGATGTGAGAATATTTTTATTGATTTAATTCAGTTGACCTTCTAGGTAAAAATTGTCTACTAAGAGTCTAAATCATTTGCTATCTTAGTTTTCTTCGTTCAATAACACTTATTTTGAATCAATCTATTGAAAAATATATTGACCACTACTAATCGCGTTATGCAGCCGACCTGTTGTCGCCGCCATTACCTTCACTAAAATCGGAATGTTACAAAACTATATATTTTGGACTCCTTTGTTAAAGGAGATAGAAGAATTAATTTGCTCAATTTCAAGAATGACCAGACCCATTATTGAATTAATAAATTACAAAAATGTGTAGTTATTAGTTTTCAAAAAACAGTAAACTACGGATGAAATCTAATGGATAAAAAAGGCATTTTATTCCAAAATTACTAAAATGAATGAAAAAGACTGAAATGTGACATGTTTTAAATTTTTCCAAAAAAGTGAATAAAAGTATTTATTCCTTGTATTTAAGGCCTTTTTATTCCAATATTACTAAAATGAATGAAAAAATGTGTCCTCTTTTGATTTTTCCCAAAAAGTGACTAAATGTCATTTATTTTTTGTATTTTATCATACATTTATGATTTTAATATTCCTTTTATATATTTGATTAAAAGTTCATAATGTGCCGCCACCAGCACCTCCGTGGCCGCCGCTGCAACCATCGGCACCGCCTTCGCCACCGCCGTTGTCACCGGCACCGCCGCCAGTCACTATCTCAGTGACTCCGGTCAAAGTGACTCCGGCCGTCACAGTGACTCCGACCATCACAATGACTCTGCCCGCTAGTGACTGCTCGTCTACCCGTCACAATGACACCGGACAAAGTGACTGCCCGCCAACTCGTCCACCGCCGCCACTTTCCGGCCACCCCTCCCCAGCTCCCAAACCCCCTCCATAGGCCCATAGCACCCTCTAGCCCCGCCTCTGACCTGCCCCCAACCACCTCCCAAGCTTAAACTCCGACCATCTGCCTGTTCCAACCCCTGCTCCAACCAAACCAGATCTGAAATGCCCTAACCCCAATCCCCACCTAGCAACGCCTCACACCAGCTCCACCAGCAACGCTTGCTTCTAGCCCTGTCCCAACCTGTCAAAGCCGACACACTAGATCCCCAGCCCCTAGCCCCACTCCCAGCTATTATCCCTGTGCACCAAATCTCCACCTAGCCCCCACTCCCCGCCCCTAGCTAGCACTACGCACCAGATCCTCATCCAGCCTAAACCCCCTGTCCCAAGCTCCCTCCCCTGTCATTCTCACAGGCCCTCTCCGACATCTAGGACGACGGATCCAGCATTTGTTGCGCTGAATCGGAGTTGTCACCGAGTTTGGCGAATCCAGAATCGGAGGCCCCAAAATGAGTCATCATCCACCGACGAATCTGGATCTGGCACTAACGAAGGCGTCTACCATCGAGGACGATAATTCCAGTCGAGGCACGGTCATCAAGGATGATGGAGGAGGCAATCAGGTTCAGTTGCAGCCAACGGTGAAGGAGAACATGAAGATTTGCGGCAGGGCGGCGACGGCAGAAAAACGGAGGTGGTGAAGAAGAAAGCGGTAGTCGAGAGAAGAAGAAGCAACATGGGAAGAAGAGGATGGGGAAAGATAAGAAGAGGATGCGGAAGAAATGTCGAGAGAGAGGGCGGATGGGTTTGCTGAGTCACTTATTTGTCCAAATCTAAATTGTTAATATTTTTGTCCAACCAAACTCTACAAGTCATATCTATGCCATTTTTTCTGTATTTAATCATATACGTAGTATTCATTATTTTAATATCTCCTTTATATATTTGATTAGTAGTCAGCCACCATCACCTCTGTGGCCGCCGACCCCAACACCACCGCCGTCAGCACCGCCGCCGCCGACACTGGCACCTCCGCCACCGCCTTCATCGGTACAGCCGCCGCCGTCAGCACCACCGCCGCCGCAGTCACTATCTCAGTTACTCCGGTCAAAGTGACTACCCATGATCAAAGTGACTGCCCGTCCACCCATCTGTTGCAGTGACCCCGCTCAAAGTGACTGTCTGCCCGCCCACCAGTCACAGTGACCCGTCCAAAGTGACTGCCCACCCACCGACCAAAGTGATTATCCGCCCGCCCAAATCCACCCATCGCCGCCACTTTCCGGTCACCGCCATCTAGCCCACCTGGCTTACCATTTCCGTCACCACCCCCTCCCCAACCCCCCAAACCCCTCCCCGACCCCAGCCCATTTCCGGTCACCAGCCGCCCAACCCCCCTCCCCTGCCCCGCCCCCTATCCTCCTTCAAACCAGTTGGCCCAAAAGCTTAGCTATGCCACCACCCCCACCACCATGGAACCCTCTCCGCACCCCCACCACTATCGAACCCTCGCCGCACCCCCACCAGAAGCGAAAGCCCCAAATCAGAGTCGTCGTCCATCAAGATGCATGACAGATTTGGCACCGGCGGCCCCAAAACCGCAGGCGTCGTCCATCAAGGACGGTAGATTTGGCACCAGCGGTCCTAAATCGCTGTTATTGTCCATCCAGGCGGCGGATCTAGCACCGGTGGCCATCTAGGACGGCGAAGAAGCTAGCAGAGGCGCGACCATTGACCATAAGGCAACAGAGGCGCGAACATCGGCCAACATCCGGCAGAGGCACGGCCATCGAGCAACGAGGATGATAAGTGGCGGTTGCAGAAGAGAGAAGAAGAGAGTGGCTGTTGGAGAATGGCGGCGGCGGCTGGAAAGCTGCGGTGGCTGGATAGAATAAGCCTGGGAGATGATCTGGTTGAGGAGCTGCAGGGGCTTTGTCGTTGAGGATGAGGTGAACGGAGGTGGCTTGGGGAGAGTGTAGAGACGTTGGGAGAGAGATGTACAACCTGTCATGTTTTAGGGAAATTGGAATACAGTCATAAATTTGGAAAAGAAGAGTCAGGGTGTCATAATCAGGCCATTTTTCTAAAAAAACATTGGGATTTTTTTTTGTTTAGATAAAGATGGTTGAAAAGACGAAGTTCATTAGGATGCAACGAGAGTTATAAAATAATTGGTTTTTTTGATTCGATAATATATATAGATTGGCAACAGAGTTTTTACCACTTTTAGTCCCCCAACTATTGTGTCAGTGACACTTTTGGTACTCGACTTTTAATTTTTCCACTTTTAATCCTCGACTATTGTGCGAGAGACACTTTTGATATCCGTCTTTGAAAATTTCCGTATTTAGTCCTTCAACTTTTGTAGAAGTGACACTTTTGGTCCTTCAACTATTGCAATAGAGACATTTTTAGTCCTCCACTTATTGTGTCAAAATCATAGTAGTAGGACTAAAAGTGTCAATTTGATAATACTCAAAGGACTAAATGTGGGAAACTTGAAAGTAGAGGACTAAAAGTGTCTCACGAACAATAGTCGAGGACTAAAAATGGAAAAATTAAAAGTCGTGTACCAAAAGTGTCACTGACACAATACTCGGGGGACCAAAAGTGGTAAAAACTCATTGGCAACATGTTTAGATAATTATTTAAAACATAAGACATACTCAATAAATAAGAATACACATTATCAATCAATGTTATAATCAACTAAATAAGTGACTTTCCATTAACTCTAATAACTCATACATATACCAGTACACGCACACACATATAGTAAAGCTAAAATAAAAGAGAAATTACCCTAAATACGACTAAAACATTCATATATTCCACAATAGGACTATTATGTTTTTATACCCAAAATATGACTACTTACTGTCATGTTTTGGTAGTACTAAACTTTAAAAATGGCAATATTTTCAAAACGTGACAGTAATTACTCCTATTTTGGGAATAAAAACATGACAATTCTATTTTATCCCGTGCACGACAAAGGTAATAGGCATGAACTAAGCAGGTTTGACCCGACCCGGTACCCAGCCTGACCCGTTACTGTGCAGGACCGGCCTAGCCCGGCCGACCAAGACCAGAGGCCTGAACAGGGGGCATTAGAGGCGGGCTACGAGATCTATATATAGTGGACCGGCCCGACTGGTCCAGACCGGTCCGAGCCCAAACTGTTTTTTTTTTCGCATTGAGTTGCTGCTAGGTGGGTTGGGTTGGGTTGGGTGTTTTGGCAGGGTATGGGGGTGGGGGGTAGGACTGAATGCGAAAAGGGTAATTTAAAAAAAACGACCTGACTCGGGCCCGATCCCAGCCTAAACCTGAGCCGGTACCGGCCGGGGCTGCAACCGAAAACCCCAGTCCCACCCAATCCTGGCCTGGGCCCGACCCAGGCCTGGTCCATCCCTAACAAGTAAAGATACTAGTTATTTAATAAAATAGAGGATGTCTTATCGATCAACTTTTCACCAAACATGAATGTAACTTTTAATTTTGCACCTGAATTGTGTAGTAATCAAAATAAGTAAAGTTGAAATTACTTTTTTGGCTAATTGACTAAAGTTACTATAGAGAATCATTTTAACTATTTTTCATATAACTCTGTTTGTATTTTATTACCAAAATATATTTAAATATAACTTTTTCATAATTCAGCATATTCACCCATTTTGACCAAAATTTCATCAATTTTAGCAGAATAACTGATTCAACCAAATTTCAGTGTTACAAACGGGCTCTAAACTAGGAACCTGAAATTTCACAATCCCAAGGTCTGGGCACGAAGGATCCTCATTCCTTATGCAGTATGCACTGATAACTCCAATTCAACAAGTAAATGAAAATATAAGTTTTTAAACCATTGGAATTCAAATTCTCAAGTGCAGACAACATTCTGAGACAATTGCTCTACATGATCTGCTCAAACTATACAATCACTAATACAGTACAAATGAATGGTGAACATGTCTACTCCACACTGATGAATTTGAATGACAAATGAAAACCGTATACATATATTTGTGACAATCAATACTTTTTCTATACCTCACGAATCAGAAGAATCCAGGGATTGGAGGGTTACACGAGGAGCTAGTAATCTGTTCCCCCTCTTCAGACAGTGAGCTGCAAGAAAGCCAAATGCATGGTTAATTGTAGCGAAGAGCGAAACAGGTAAGAAAGACATGTGGTAGAGAACAACAGTGGATATTTTGTGTGCTGTCTGGTAGGAGTGAAATGGTGAAGAAATGAGAAGAGATTAGGAGATTTATTTCTCTCTATAAGAGATATGGAACAGAAAGGAGGTGGAACCCACGATTTTCGTTTCCCTCCTCCCTATCTCTTCTTACCAAACGAGCGAGATACCCTACTTTTCCTGTACTTCTTTCTTCTGCGTTTCTTTCTTCTACACCATATACCTACCAAACAAAGCCTTAAGGATGTCGAACAGTTTAGAAGGGATGGCTTTAGAGGGCTTAGTCTAATCTTGAAACAAAATTTTACTAAAGAATCACAATTGATTGAAGTGTCATATGAATATATGATCCCATATTTTGTTAAACTTTTTTTTATAGAAAATCACACACATCATGATATAGATTTAGTCCTCCATAGTCCTTCATCTAAGCATACCCCCTTAGATTCATGAAAGGAGTGGAAGTGACAATATTATGCAAGGAATAGAAGTGACAATATTATACCATTATCCCCCTCTCAAGGCAGCGAATCGGGCAGCCAAATCTTCATAGTCTGGTAATTTTGGATGGACATGGCGTGCCTGATGGTCAGGCTGAAAGGAATTGGCTCGTGCATAAACCTTTGGTGTTTCTGAAGGAGAAGCCTGCTCATGCGGGAGAGAGAGAGATCTTGTGGGGTGGGGAGGCACACAACCAGACTTCATTTCCTGTGGTGTTTTATGGGTATTATTATTAACGTCTCTCTGGTGTGAAGGCTTTTTCCTCAACTTATCTATGTCGTAGTCAGATGGTTTCCGACTATAGTGCAGAAGGAGTTTATCTATCATCACTTCCTCCTCGTCTCGATGTTGGTGGGGCTTACCATCATGATCCCCCACAGATTTGGGACGGCTCCTCCTGACTGATTTCGGTTTGTTCAAGGGAATCTCATCCTTTGAAGCAACCTTGGTATGTTCTGATTCTTTACCATGGGAAGAGGCACCAATGAGATACCCGTTTGATTCAGAATGTTCAGATCCCCTGCTGGTTTTGTCTTTTGATTTGACATAGGGAGGAGGACGTCCATAGCCGTAATGAGATTTTAAGCTATTATTATTCTCCTCATCCAGAAGCTCTTTAGTTGAGATCACTTTCTTCTTTTCACTGACGTCGCCATATTTAATATTTTCCCCTTCTGTCTTTTCATGTTCACTATACACACCATTTGTCTCCCGCCGCCGCTGATGGGAATTATCATACTTCTCCACTTTGTGAGCTGGAATATCATTCTTTTCTGAAGCAGAATGGCTTCTTTCCTTGTTGGCAACATGCTTAAATTCATTAACCCTTTCTTTCTTCCCAGATGAATGAACATCTGGCTTGCCATTACTGTCTCGCCCTTGAGTCTTTATCTGGTTATCCTTAGAAGCCTCAGGCTTTCCTTCTGACAGAACATTTTTCGCAACTGTTTTGGAGACACTGCCCTTTTGGTTACCTTGGTTATAGTTTCCAGGAGAGTGTGATGAAGGTTCAATCTTGTTTAGCTTTCCCTGAAAATTAAGCAGCGTATGCAAAATATAAAGATGTATTTTATTTAATGCTACGTACGGAGTATTTATTTATATATAATGGTCAAAATGAAATCTTGTCAGGCACATGGGGCACACCTGATAAGATCATTCATAAATTCATATATGTATACACACACGCATGAACGCAAATGCATACTCCCTCCGTCCCGGTCATTTCTTCCAAGTTTGACTTCGCTCGCAAATTTAGAAAGTGGGAATAAAGTGGAAATGCATGGTTGTAGTTGTGTAAGAAAAAGGTGAATGAATGTGAACCACATATTTTTTCCAAAAGTGGAAGTTGTAAGAATTAATTGGGACGACCCAAAAAGGAAAGTTGGAAGAAATGACCGGGACGGAGGGAGTATATGCTTATATTGCAAACAATATATTTTCTTGTTTCTTTTAGGTTATGTATGGAACACGGAAAATGGTAGGGTAAAGACAAAAGTCAAAAATGAATATGGTTTTAAAATGTTTGGTTATACCTTGACAAGTACAAAGGAAGGATTAGTACTTAATTAAAATTAAAAATTTACCTACATTTAGATTTACTAGTCATATGGTCCGAATATAAAAATAAAATGAGTGAACAAGAAACTATATTTGATTTACCGAGTTTAAATGAATTTTTAATTTTTGCTAGCATTTCTTGGGTTGTAAGCGAACCTTTAAAATTGATAGTTGCATGCTATATACATATATACCTCTGCGTATGCCATCCTCTGTTGAAGGCCCACCGAGTCCAATCGTATTTGACATTCTGAAGCTATGTCTTGCAATAGCTGGATTCTCTTCTCCATGGCAGGTGTTTTTGAAGATAATTGCTCTACAAACTAGCCATAATGACTGAAGCTAGTGAGAAAAACTAACGATGTGTAATTCAACACATCATATACATAAATTGTGGAGTTGCTGAAAATACTAACCTTCTGATTAACAAAACATTCTAAGCCACTTCCATATTTCTCCAGAATTAGATCCCTGATATCGCGTAATTCTGGCAAATCAGAGAATCTTGCAGCTGCAAACATAAGGGAAGCCACAGCTTCTCGGCATTCTTCAGGGCAATCACTGCACACACAATTGAATAAAAAGTGATGGTCAACAGTAATGTTACCATACTAAATATATATCCAACGCATTGTTCTTTTCTAAGATTGGTTTCTGTATACACCATTGTACAAACTTCTAAATCTTGAACTCACAAACTTGTTCATCGCAAAAAACAAACACCATCATTTGTGTGTGTATATAGTGTATTATCAGAAGACAGCCAGCACTTAACATGAGTAAAAACCAGTAAAGATAAACAACTGAAATATTTAGGAATAAGCATCATTAGGTACATTGACTAAGATTGTCAGTATCAGCACTGGTGGAGTACTGGAGTACTAGTGCATCTTTAAATTTCAGATATCAAATAACTTATCCCCATTTCATAGTTGGACTAAATGAATTCTAGTCACTAAAGTACATAAGGTTCTTAAAGCAGAAAATTTCTATCACCATCTACAGGTTATGATTGTTGAAATCCTTGTATTTTCAGATTATCAGGTAGTTCAGCAAACTATATAAGTACATTCACAATTCCATGTAGCAGGCTTAAAGTTAAAGACAGATAACATCTATACAAGATCAATTAAATTGATCGATTGAAAAAAAGTGGTGCAATCACAGCTTCCTTAGTAATACCTTTGTTTTTGCATGTTTGAGAGCTGCTTCATAATGTACTCACAAGATAGTTCAATGTAACCATAGCAAGATAAGATGCGTTCACCAGCCATAAATTCTTCAGTCTGTCCACCCACATCAGAAAAACAACATGTAACTATGTAATGTTGTAAGAAAAAAATCACAATTGAACCGAAAATATACTAGGTACATAGTAGTATTCATAACCCCCCAGGAGAAGTAAAGGTTGATAAGCTTCTTATTCACTTCCTTTTAGCACAGAGTTCCTCGATTTGCATCATAGAGTGAATATGCGTGCACGTCAAAATTCATTCCAAAAGAAACGACATAATCTATATAGTTTTTTTAACATAACAGGCATATACGAAGTATATAATACGTAGTAATACTACTATATAATACTACGTAAGAGTATATAATAAATTAATAATATATAATATAATACGTAGTACATTATTTCATTTTAAAATATTCCTTCCCAGGGTTCTGATTTTTAGTTTACGGTTTTTAGCCTACGAAACATTCAATTAAAGAAGAAGAAGAAATAGTGGTGATAGAAAAGCAGCGCAATGAGCGCATTAACGAAAAAAATTGAAATTGTTTGAAATGCCGAAGACATTAAATCAAACAAAATAAGATGATAAAATAGTCACCCGTCCATATGCATTAACGTCAAGCCCATTAGTTAACAATTTCACAAGATCTTCCTTGAGAAACCTCTGCTTCGCCTCCGCTCTCCGCCGCGCCAATTCGATTCGCGATGTAGTCCCCTTCATCAATGATTTACTGTCCGCGTTTGCGAAAAATCTAGTCAGTACATACATACAATTGCATACAAGACACAAACTAGAGCTCACGCCACGAGTGAGAGAGAGATAGAGAGCAATTACCATTTGGAGCTGAAGCCGCGACCGAGAATACCGTCAAGCATCTCCGATCTCCGATAAGCAACTTCGTTTTACTGGAGATTGTCTTGAGCAGAGGCTTCGATTCAGAAGGACACAAGGTGAACTGGTTAAGTCACCCCTGTGAACACTTACTTGAATTGATTTCGCGTTCAGATAAACAGATCCGCCATTAGAGACCCTTGAAGAAGAACGTCGGAAGGCGTATAATATAGAATATCCGTGTGTATATTACTTATAAACGTGTAGATTGTAGATTCACAGCTGTGTATGCTGTATACAGCTAAAAGTATACTTCGTATATCATATGTAGAGAGAGATTAGTGCTAATAACTAAGAGAGAGAGATTACCAGTTCAGCTGAGGAGATTCCACGCAGTCGATCAAATTTGAATTTGTCTTTTACTAAAATTAAAACACTTTTCTTTAGTGTTTCTTACCAAAAAGGATGACACCCATAGCAAATCACAAATTATCGAATACTCCCTCCGTCCCCTTTTAAATGTCCCGGAGGAGGGTGACACGAGTTTTAAGAAAAGTAAGTTTGTGAGGTTGATATTAATAGATAAAGTAAGAATAAAGTAAGAATGATTTTGAGCCATACAAATTTTACCAAATAAGGTATGAGACAATTAAATAGGGACATCCCAATATGGTAAAATGGGACATTTAAAAGAGGACGGAGGGAGTAGCTGATAAGGGCCTAAGGCTGTGACAAACAATTTATGCATTTTTAAGTTGTTGGAATTCGAATGGGAGACTTTACCCATTGTGACACTCTTCATCTACCAATTGAGTTACGTCCATCGTAAATTTTTAATTACCAATTTTTGGTGTTCCTTACCAGTTTTTATAATACGAAGTATGGTTTTAAGAAATTAATTATGGGAGATTTCAACAAGTAGGAGCAAAACGTACTGATTTTCCAAAACTAAGACCGAAGATTAGCGTAAGACTCAACTATATCTGTATTGACCACAATACCCTTACTTTTAGAAAATATCAGATATTAAATAGAAAATAAATACACAATAAGTAGACAATAAATAAACAATAAATTCTGATAAAATAATCTATTCAAATCCAAGCTCAAATCCCATATTCAATAGAACTGGATCGGAGGATCCTTGACTACCTTCCCCACTGACTACCGCCACATTAAAGGCTTTGTCATCCACAATTCCACACCTTCACCCTCACCAACCAAATCCGGAAAAGTCAATTACATCAATTTCCATTGGAAGCCCACCTGCAGCGTCAAGTGGTTGCTTGAGGACGAGGCTGAGCCGGAGATGAGGCACAATGTAGAAGAGGCAGCAGCACGGCGACGCGCCAACGGTGGAACGGTGAGTTTATTGAGGCGCCACCGGCTGCACAACGACGCAGTGGCAAGATAAAGGCGGAAATTTTTGGGAAGTCTCCTCCTTCGTTTTGTTCTTTTTGGGAAATTTTTGAACGGTGCGAAAGAAAAAAGGATACATGGAGGAATGGAGGATGGGGCTTCCCGCGGAAGAAGTTAGGTCGGCGGAAGTTTTTTTGGTTTACTTCATAAAGCCTGAAGGGCAAATTTGGAAAGTTAGAAATAGATTTCCTAATCTAGAACTAAATAGGTAATATGAATGGAAAAAACATTAGCAGATATTATTTTTATAAAAAAGCTATGATTTAGTCCTATTAGAAGCAAATTTCTCATTAATTATTAAAGGAAACAAAATAATGTTCCATTCCTATGTTTTAAGAAATTAATTAATTAAAGGAAACAAAATAATGTTCCGTTCCTATATCGAGACCATGTAACACCCTTACACGGTCACACCTCATTGGTTAGACATGGTATACATGTTCATAAGCCATTAAATGTCTTTCTATCTTGTACGCCTTTTTTAATCATTTGTGATTGAGTAAAAATACTCATTGGAGCTTGTTCACCGGATTGCTGTCGCCGATCTCCAGAACTCTGCCGTTGCTGGAATGCCGCCGCCAGACTACCTTGATTGTGCACATGGGACTAGGGGGCAATTATTCATATTAAAGATAGAAATATACTACGTAATATTTAGTCTTATTTAAGGAATATTTAGTCTTATTTAAAACATGCATTCCTTAGATAGCATGAGCATGCTTTAGTCCTATTTAGAGCAATTTTTTTCAATTTGAAGTGGAGAAGGAATTGAAATTGCCCTCTTTAGCTACACCATGGTTCTAGCACATTCTATATTTAGTCATGCACAACCTAGAAACCCTCACAAGAGGTCATTCATGCTAATACTACTACTTTTAATCATATATAATTCATATTAGCTAATGAGTTTTGCAAAATGAGTATTAATTTTAATCGTATATTATTTATATTCTCCCCCGAATTCAAGATATTTCAATGACACTACTTATGAACACAACATTCACGTCGCTTGGAAACTAATATCTATCAAGCCCTAGAATCGCCCCCGCTAGGGCGCTAGATAATTTGATTGCTCCGATCAACGCAAGGTCACACGATTGCTTTGATAACATTTATATCATCAAGAGGCGGTTTCTCATGACTGCTCAATGGGCTTGGTACTGACCCCGCAAACAAGGAATTGCCTTTTCAGCACATTTTGCACACACTCGTGTACACCTCGAAAAATCTGAGGAAAGTTTGTAGTTCTTAGCAAAGTGGCTATTTTAAAAAAATGCATCTTATTAATATGAGTGGTACTTTTAAATGTGATGAAGCTTATTTATCTCACCTCAAATCAAAGTATTACGTTATGCATTCCCTTACTATACTAACTAATCAAGTTTAGTTGAATGAAGCACATGGCCTTCGAAATAGATTTTGATTATTTTTCTTTCATGGGAGGGTAAAATGTGGCGTTCGCAGTTATATTAATTGTCATCATCTTCCTTTGAAATCTGCCCGCCTTTAGGGCAGTATCGTGAATGTTATATTCTCTTTCGGTGCAATCTTGAGCAATATTTTATATGTTGTGGAAAGTCTTACATGCTATATAGAAAGTAATTGCAATTAGGGCGAGCCTACATCAAGGGATCGCTTTACCTTGAGTAATAATGTAAAAGCTGAAAAGGTAGATGTTTTCTCTTTATTGTTGAGTTCATGTCTATCCCTCACCATATTAAAGTTATGGTGCATATGTTTTAAGTTGATTTCTATGAACTTTGAATATTTTTTTAAGAAAAATATGTTCTAAGAGGTTTTCTAATTGTAATGTATTAAAGTATGTTCTAATTATTTTTAAGAAAAATATGTTCTAAGTTGATTTATTGTTGAGTTCATGTCTATCCCTCACCATATTAAAGTTATGTTTTCTAATTGTAATGTATGAAGACTCATATGAAACGACTATATTAGGTGCATGCAAAGGTTGGTTTGCAAGAAAAAGACATAGTTGCAACTCTATAGAGTCCGAGTGATTATCTTTATTCTAAGAGGTTCCCTAAGATCCTAAATCACCTTAGTTCTGATACTTTCTCTCGAAATTTCCTATGTGATGAACATCTAACATTTTTGTATATTTAAAATTCACCTCCATGGTGATTTTTCAGAGGTTTACAAAGATATAATTAGGCTCTCATTCCCAACCTGTGTGAAACCATTTATTTGTTCCTCTTGTGAAAAGTTGTTATCAAGAAGGTAAAAAGAAATATGTAAAGAGTTGATTGTAGTTCCTCATGTAAAAAATGTTGTAGTACTGAATGAAGTTATAAATGACATAATAAGTGTAACTATTTATAAAACTTGAATTTATAGTTTGTGGCATTCAATATTATATTTTGAACTCTAGAATTTGTTCTGAATAGTTGTCCAAATTGAGGCAAAATTTGATCCTCCAATTCATCTCTACATGAATTAAGGAAAGTGAAAAAGGGTTAAAGTGAGACACTAACAAGGAAACATGGGTAAAAATAAGTTAAGGCTTGAAAATGGAAAAAAGAAAGATAAAAAGGTATATTCTTTCTCCTTTATAAAGACTTAGTTAAATTTATTCTAAAGTAATTTGGAATCAAGGAGGTATGATTTTCCATCTTTTCAATGAAATAAAATTGAGTTTTCCGATCTACCTAAATTGTGTTATATAAGAAAATGAGAAGAAACAAAGAACTCTCTCAGTATAGTACTTTAAAATGTACACCAAAGTTCTTGAGTATTTAATTATGTGTTTGATAGAAAAAGTCGACATCAATCAAGATGAAGTGAAAAGAATAAAACATTCATTCTTCAATAAAAGGAAAACAATAAACAATTGAATGAGATGAGGCTACTTTACTTGTAACACCCTTAACCCCACAAGTTCAATGTTGTTACTTCTAGAAACTTTTCAAACCTCTAGTACTGTCCTCACAAACCAACACAAGCTTTTATCACATACTTTCTCCTCGTTCGTGGGTGTCTTGAGAAACTTCTTAGGGGTCATCTATCCCAAGACTACTCCCATGCAAGAACGCTAAACTTGGGGTTCTTAGCTGATGAGCTTCCTTAAAAAGAGATGCACCTTGTTGGTATGAGTAGTACAATTAATCCCTTTAAATTAATCTCATGTATTACATTACTAATTGAGGTGAGTTTTCTCGCACTTAAAAAGATGTAGTAATATAGGGTTTTAGTATGAGTATCGTCTCCACAGGGACGGAAAAAGGGAATTAGGAACTAAATAAATTCAGCAATTAAAAATAAATAAAATAAATGCAATGCGTGAGATTTGATTTTTGAGAAAATAATTAATGCGAAAGTAAAACTAAATTAAAGGCTCTTTCTAATTAATGACGGAATGGAACAAAGATTGATTCCGAGGACAACCAGATTTTAGGAGTGATTGGGCTTAAACACATGAAAATTATTTAATTGAGCAACGTAGGTCAATACTAGGTTCTTACCGCTCTCGCGGCGTAGAGTACAATGATTTAGAGAACCAAGCGCTCTAACCTTGCTAATCTCTTAGCGAGCGATTAGGTGTGTGTGAAAGTGTCCTAAAATAGTTTAGATCTTTCTTACATCATACTATATGCAATTATAATCCTAGTTGCAGTTCTAGGTTACAAAACATATCAATTAAATTATATAAACACAAATTAAATAAATAATCATGCATTCAAACCCTCGAGAACGAACCTTAGATCATGATTAATACCCCTTCATCAATCCCAAATCCCTAATTAAATCTACTTACAATTCATAATTGTGCGCTGGAGTCATCTCTGATCAAGAATGATTTATCAATAGTGGATACTCCAGACACATGACAACTGACAAGAGTTGCCTAACAGAGTTCCAAAAATTCAATGAACCCAGAGTTGTCTTTAGTGAACAAGACAAAGAAGGTCATACAAAAGGGGAAAGAAAGCTAGTCAGAAACCAAATAAGCATTGATGATTTTTCATGTGTCAAAGGATTGAAGTTAAACCTGTGACATCCCCAAATTTC